CATGGTGAGGGGAATCTCACATCATGGGGTGCCATGGAGGGCCAGGGTGGGGCAGAGTCCCTGTTCCAGCCTCTCTGGTCCCTGAGGCCTGGGCTGCACCCTGTGATATAAAGTGAGCCCTTTGGGGGTGGTGCTGGGAAGCAGGCGACAGACAGCTTCTCTGTATGCTCTGAGAATCTCACCTTCTCTTGCAGCATTTTAGACTTTTTCCAAATTCTCTCTCCTTCTGTCACCATAGCAACACATAGATGGTGAGCTGGAGCTATCACTGGATCAACGAGTGGGAGGGGTCTTTGCCCTGCACTTGGCCTTGCTGATTCATTTTGTCTCCTCATGAGCATTTGGCAGTGGCCAGAGCTCACAGGCCAGGAGGCTTTCCTGGCAGTCTGGCCGCCCTCGGCATCCCAGGGTCCTGTGCCACGCCTTGCATAGGAAGAGCAGGGTAAGCCTAGGCCCATGTCCCCAGTGCCAGCAGAGCTCTCCACACAGCACCATGGCTTCCGCCAGCAGGGTGGCACATGCAAGCTTCACTCCCTGGAATGAGACACGAGGTAGACCAGGGCACTTAGCTTCCCCAATGAGGGTCACCTGCAGGCCTGGGCTGGGAGGAGGCGTTTCCCACAGCTCCAGCTTGGGGTGCATCTGCAAGTGGCACCCCTCCCCTCCTCTTGGCCCAGGGGACAGAGCAGCCCTGAGTGCAGCACCCTGGGATTCTGGGGGCTCTGGACCCCAGCCCTCCCTAGAGGGGCTTTAGGGTGCTCGGGGCTGGAAGCCTTGGTGTGGATGGTGACACAGGGGCAAGCATCTTGGAGGGGCCAGGACAGTTTCTCTGCAAAGCACAGCCCTCCAGACACCCAGGGACCTACAGTTTTGGGATGGGCTGGTGGACCCAGCTCGGCGAACCCACTCCCTACCCAGAAAAGAGCCAGAGCCACTGAGGCCTGGCCCCTGGATGCTGTTCCAGGGGGAAGGTCCACCCTGGGCAGAAACCCGTCTGAGTGCGAAGTAATCGACCTGCCCCACATTCTGTCCCCAAAGTGGAAGTCACAGCCTGGTCTGTGGGCAGGGAAGTTTCCCTGACAGTGAAGGTAGGCGGTGAGGATGCAGAACCAGCTCGTGGGGCAACCAGAAAAATCAGCGGTATTTCTGAAGTAGAGGGGGCAGAAATTGCAGAGCCCAAGCCCCTGGTGGAATCATAAGCCCAGGGGGCTGAGGCAGAAAACTCCATGACTTTTGAGACCATGACTTTGTGCTGCATAGCGAGATCCTGTCTGAAAAAGCCAAAAACATAAACAAAAAAAAAGATGATGAGAAAAGGAAGTAAAGCGAATAAGCACTTTGTGGAACCAGTACAATTCTTCCGCCAGAGTGCCGCTTCTTTATCTGCAGCTTCCCGAGCGTCAAGCCCTCTGCCCGGGACCATGTCCCTTCTGAGGGGTGTGGAGTGTGGGGTGAGGGGCTGGGGCTGTGTCCTGCTGGGCCACGGACTCTGTGATGCACGTTCTGTCAGAGCCATTCTGCACCACGGGCTGGGGCAGAAGACAAATGTCACAGCCTCCTGGACCCCTGAACTGCACGGCCTGGGCCTGTGTATCCATGCTGTCTTTTGGTGGCATTTTCATGCTGGTACACGCATGCATTCAGTGTCTGTTGAGGCCTTGCAAGTGTAGGTGTGTGTGGATGGGTGTGGACTCAGGTGGGCGTGGTGCAGGAGGCCATGGCTGTGACTAGCGCCTGAGCCCCTGCCCTGCACAGGATAGGGCTGGGCTCTAGAGAAAACTGTACCCAGCCTTCGTGGCCTGACCTTGGCCTGGTGGCCTCTCCATCACCCCATGCCAAGTGTGCCCCGGCCTGACATCTGACCTGACTGTGGGTCCCAAGCCAGAGCCTCTTGGGAAGTGCCTCTCTCACCTCAGGTGTCCGGGCCTCCCACAGTTTCGGGTCCCAGTGTAGCTTCTCCCCTCAGTCCATCCCTTGGCAGGGCACCACGCCCTGCTGGGCAAAGGACAGGCGGGACTCCAGGGGTATGAAGAGGGATTCTGCCCTGCTGGGAAGAAGTGCATGTTTAATGTCCCATAGCCAAGTACGTGACAGTTGCCACCCAGGGCAGACCAGGTCCTGGTGCTGCAGGGCCAAGGAAGGAGGCACTAGTGGAAGGGGAGGAGGGGCAGAGTCAGGCAGAGGGGGAGTCGGGAGAGTCCCTGAGGTTTTGAGGAAATATTTCAGGTAACTGAGCAAACACCCCAAATTTCACAAGAACAGAAGGCAAGCAGCCCATGCAGGCTGGGCTTGCAGGCGGGAAAGGGATCTGGTGAGCCTTGTGCTTGTGCTCGGCTGGGCAGGCTGGGAAGCTGGGGAGATCGCAGTCAACTGGCAGACGGGCACCAGGCACCCTTCCTCAGCCACCTGGAACACTCTGTCTCCAGCCTCCGCCCTAGTCCCCCTTCCTCCTGCCTCCATCCAGCCTGGTCCATAAACTGCCTCAGTCCCTCTTCTGTGTTCTCTTCTTTCCTTGTCAATAATCATAACCGTGTGTGATTTGATCCTTTGATATTTTCATTTGGAAAATAGTTAAAATCACAGTAGTTTCCTTTTTAATCACTGTGGATAACTTCAAAGGAAGTTCTCAAAGAAAGTTTCAGAAAGCGTTTGGGGAACCTCATTGTGGGCAAAAGAACCAGGCCACTGCCACCCCTTGCCAGAGCCATTGCATGTAGGGGGAGGAAAGCCATCAGGTCTCCAGGTGAGGGGCATCCTCCCCTCCGGCCCTCAGGAATTGGCAGAGCCCGTCTCATTGCAGGGGCCAGGCCAGGGTGTGTGCCCTCATGCCCAGAAAGCTCTCTGCCACCTGTCCCTCTGGCAGGTCAGTGTCCTGTTCAGACCACCGGAGGATGGACACAGGCCTTCCACGGTCTACCCTAGGTGCCTTGTGGTGTGTGCTGGCCAGGGTCAGCATGGCCAAGGATGTGTAACTGCATCCACTTCCCCACCGTTTGGTTTGACAGGAGAACTGTGTGCAGAAGACGTTGTCTTGTTATCTCAGAAAGAAACCAAGGAAGAAACAGGGAGGGAAAAGAGGACAGTGAAGGAAAGAAACAGGGAGGGAAGAGAGAGAAAGAGAATTCATCCTCATTGACTATCCCAGTCGTTAAAGCTAAAAAGAATAAAGAAAATCCACAGTAAGTCAGGCATGAAGCTTAAAATATTTCAGTACTTAGCAGGCACGCTTCCAGTCTCACCGTGGCCTGTGACACATGTCTGTGCATGTGAGTATGCATGTGTGTACGTGTGTGATGTGGGGGACTCAACACACAGCCTTCCGCTGGTGACTTCTCCAGTGCTTTTTTATTGTTATTTTTTACTCTGACACACATTCTCCCCAAGTTGCCAAGTTGAACTTGAATGTGGACCCCCTTGCCTCAGCCTCCCCGAATGCTCCTTTGATAGGAGTCTCAGTCTCACGCGGCTCACAGTGCTCTGCACGCCCTGCTTTTCCCCGTCCTCTGCTCTGCGGATCCTTGTTGCTGGTGCACACCCCTTCCTTCCTCCTAAGCCAACACCGTGTGTCCGCAGGCTGGGCGCCTGGCTGCATCCCCTCCTCCCACAAGTGTCACTGCTAGTCAGCTGTCGAGCGACCCTCCGCCCCCCTCCCGATTGCTGCTCCAGTCCTGTACCAGGCTCACCCCCACAGTCAGCCACGCAACACCATGTGGCTGCCCTCCTGTGTCAGCACCTGGCGGTCTGCTTCCTTCTCATGGTATTTTAAAGCTGTCTTTTATTTCTGATGGAAGTTTCCTCTCAGTTAATCAAATTCTCCAGACTCCTTGTCACCTGTCACCCTCTGGTACTGAGTCATGGAGTTTGTTCCCAGTGCTGGGAAGGAGCCCAGCATTGTTTCCAGCACGGCCCCACGCCAAGCCTCACCCATCCCTGTTCTTGTGCCTTTTAGTGGCTGTGTCATATTCCTCCATCAGTAGATTTTGAAATGTGTTTTTATCAATCTGCTCTTGAGAGTTACTGCCTGCCTGCTGTGTCCATTCTGCCCTGCTGTAATGAACAGGGTTTCCTAGATGTCGTGAGCAAGGGCCTTGATGTGGCTTGGTGGGTGCAGGAGCGTGGTGTCTGGGGGTGAGGAAAGCAGTGGTGTGGTGGCCTCACAGACTCGCTGTGTCCCTCCCAGCCCCAGAGGTTGGCACCTTTGGTTGCATCTGATCATCTCTACTGACCTTGCTGCTGGTGTGGCCAGGGCACCCCATACCCAGGAACCTCCCTCCCCTGCCCCCATCCTCGGTGCTCGTCCACAGCTGTCGGGTGGGCAGGATGTGTGGGGAGGACCTCAGACTTTGCTGAGGTGGTGTCGTTTTCACAGTGTAGTTTCCACCGGCCCGGCTCTCAGCTCTAGGCTTGCTTTTGCTTCCGATTTCTTGTTTTGGGGAGAGGTGACTCAGTACCCCTTCCATTAGAGCCCCGCAGTGGGGTATTTAACGGAGCCTCTGTGTCAGAAGTCAGCCTGCACTGTCACCCTGAGGTCCAATGTCCGTGCATATCCACATGGCCACTCTTTCAGGCCCGAGGTCTGTGTGCCTGTGGAGTGGCCATGAGGACCCACCTCCTCTGAATCTGGGTTGCACAGGACACCACCTCTAGGGTCCACATTCTCTTACCTGGGCTCAGCATGTGCAGATTGCTTAGCAAGCAGGCTGCACACAGTACCAGATCAGCAAGGGATGGCACCCGGCCTTCGATGCATCTGGCCTTGCTGTTTAAAGCACCGACTTCACTCGGGACCGCTTTTGCTGTGAGCTAAGTTCTTCACCATCCCGCAGCCTGCTTGTCTATGTGAAGACGCACTGAGGAAGGAAGCTTTCCCACCAGGACAGCTGCAAGAGATCCGGAAGAGGTGTTCAAGGTCTGCTTCTCACTCCGTACCCTTTATACAAGCAGTGGAGAGAACTGTGTGAAAAATTCATTCCTCTTCCTTGTTATTTCTTCTTTCCCAGAGTATTATAGAGGAGAAATTTCAAATGTCAGTGTGCAAATACCACACCCCCGCCTGCATGCTCCTCACACGTGGAGTCCCTGGAGCAGCCCAGGCCCGCCTCACCCTGCACCAGCCGGAAGGACAGCCCAGCCCGTGTGCTGAGGATGGAGGTTTGAGAAGTCTGGTGGCTGTATGAATGGCACAGACCAAGCATTCTTTAAAGTATAAAGGAAAATGAAGGAGCTGGTGTCTTCGGCCTCCCTTCTGTTTTGCAGTGGGAATTCATGCGTGAGGTGATTCAAAGCTGCCAGTTCCAGAGTCCTCAGAGGAAGAGCAAACTTGCTCTGTCCAGTGCCCAGAGCTGGGCTCTGTTCTGGAGCATTTATAGGGGTTTCTAGCAGCATTTCTCAGACAATAGTCCTATCTAACTACACTAGTCAGGGAGAAAACCCAAATCCTACCCAAAGATGCCACTTGGGGAGCATTTCTATTCACTTGTGCTGGCTTCTTTTGTGGCCAAGAGCTGTGGCCAGGGCCCCGTACTGTGCCGGGACCCAGCATCCCGAGTTCCCCTTCATGTGGCTCCTGCCTCTGGATTTCCTACCACAGAAAGAGAGGGTCACTGGCCATACAGAGCAGTTTTATCTAATAGCTATGGATTACTCTAATCTGGACTAGGAAAAGCCTAGTTTCTGAGTTTAGCTAAGTACAAAACAGAGCTATTTGTCTTATTCCAGAAAGAGTTGACTCCATGGTTTCAAACTGATGCGAAGGTCACTGATCATCTGGAGTCCCCTGCAATGACAAAGCTCACTTTGTGGGTTCCACTGGAGCAGAGACACCTGAGGGTCCAGACAGAGCAGATCGGAACTCAGTTTCCCTCTGACAACACGTGTGCCTTTCTCTCTGTCTTTGTAAGGCTGCTTACATTGCTGGGCATGGCAGCTGACTTCCTTCCCTCCCGGATGAGGTGTAGGTAGCCAGTGCCTGAGTCAGCTTCCCGTCTCCAGGGAGCAGTACCTGATGCCCACGATTTAGAGGAAGAAGGGTTTTCCTGGCTTACAGTCACAGGAGGCTCAGTCCATGGTCAGTGCTCCTAGCAGAGACATCAGGAAGGAAGCACCTGGTGCAGCAAAGCTGCTCAACCCACTGCAGCCAGAAGCAGAGCAGGTTGGACAGAGCCAGATAGGCAGGGGCCATGGCCAGATGGTCTCCAAGGTCATGGCCATGATCCACCTGGTGCCCCGGAAGGGAGGTTACTCATCTCCCAGGCCAATTGTGAAGACAGAAACATTAACCATTTAAAACATTCTATTTATTTTTTACTACTGCAGCCAGTACCATGGAAGAGTACACACATTTGCACACACTTATGGAGGCACACTCAGGTACACTTATGCCACCCACAGTCACACTTGTATAGGCACACACTCATCTACAAGCACACAGCACACCAAACAGACACACTCACACAGGCACATAAATGCACACAGATGTACCAGATACACACACCTGGTCATACTCTTGGGCACACTCACACCACACACACGGACATTTTTGTAAGCACACACAGACATACTTGCACAGGCTTATGCCTGCATACTTGCATGCATGCTCACACACAGGCACAATTATGCACACTCACCATACGCATGCACACCAACACACATACCACCAGGGTGGCCCTGTGTCTATCCAGGCTGAGCCATATCTTCCCTTGTTAGCCACTCTGGACCAAGACTAGCAAAATGGAAAGGTTCGGTGATGAGGTTCTGAAGTAACGCAATACCTCAGGCTTTCTTCAAATACATTAGAAAAACCAAAACATCCCAGGTAACTGAGTTGCTATAGGGGGCGCAGTGTTTAGCAATGGCTCAGCCTCTAAAGGTGAACGAGGAGTTTGCTTTGGACTCATAGGTTTGAGGCTATAGAAAGCCAGGTGAATGGAGGAGTGGAGTGGGAGGATTGAGCCCCCTCCCAGTACACTGGAACTCGTGGTGACACCAGGGAACAGGGTGACCACCAGAAGCTTGGGTGCCACTTCTCAGTGGGCTCCACTCCTGGACACACCCATTCTACCCATTCCCTCCCTGGCTCAGTTTCCTCTGTCGGCCTGATTGGCTCTGCGTTCACAGCAGGCACACACTGGCAGTCCCTCTGGGTTTCCCCTGGTGTCTGGGCAGCAGATGACACCGTAGCTTCTATTCTCAGCAAGACACCATTCAGATTCAAACCCAGAGCCTGGGGCCCTACCCACCTCACTTGTGCAAGGGTGGACACCCAGGCACAAGAGACCATTGCTTGCCTTCTAGGGACACTGGACCACCAGGTGACATTGGTCCACCCCAGAAGGGGCATGTGGGGCAGAGAGGACAGAGGTCTTCTTCCTCCGGTGCTGAGATACAGTGCACAGGCAATCCCTATGTGGCAGGTAGAGAGCGTGTCCCCAGGACTGGGTGTCCACCCTCGCATCAGCATTATCCTAAGTGGGTAACAAGTGCCACCAGTCAGAGGCACAGAGTGGTCCCCAGCAGGTCACCTGGTGCTGAACCTCATGCAGTCACAGGTGGGGCTTCTCACAGTGGGCTGGATCAGGACTGCGTGATGCTGGGGTTGATTCAATGCTAGGATTAAGAATGCCCTAATGTGAGCACTGTGCAGCCTAAGGGCGGGCGCCCTGGATAGGGTGTGTGGATCAGAAAGAGGGGCTGCTGTGGTCATTGCTTGCCACTCCCTGCTGCCTTCTCCCCACCGTGGACTGTGTCTGCTCTGCGATGCCACCCTGCATGCACCGCTGCATCACACCGGGTGGGTGACAGGGTGCCAGAAGTTGGGACACACGTGACACTTGCCTTTGCTGTGTGAGAGGCAAGGCAGAGAGGACCTGCGTCTTGTGCTCATCAGAGCCCCATTTTACAATGGGGCTGTGTCCTTCCCGTACCTGGGGCACACGCCCTGCTGTTGGCTCCCCAGTCTGCTACCCACTCTCTGCCACCCACACCTCCCATCAAGGTCCCCAGTGGCTCTGGATGGCCCAAGATCACTGCTGCAGGGGGCCATCTCCATAAGCCACAGTGATGCCTGTGGCCCACCCTACTGGCCTGGGAGTGGACAGGTCCCTCCCAGCTCCGCATGTTCACTGTAGAGTTCGGAGAGACTCGGGAGCAAAACTGCTGTTACAGTGGTTGCAAGCACTTTCTCCGGAGTTGTCTGAGAACCGTGGCTTGGAGGCCCCACCTGGCCCTGCCTGGTGGGGAGAGTGCCACATCGCCCTCCTCCTTCAGCACCAGATGCAAGGAGATGGGTAGAGCTCAGGCAGGGACAGGAGACAGGCACATAGTCTGCTGAGGACAGAACCCTGGCACCTCAAGGTCCCCACAGGGCTGTGGGCCAGCAGCTGACTGTGGGAACCTTGCCTGTAAAGTCGCTGGGTTCTCTGGATCTATGGCCCTCATGCAGTGGGCTTGCAAGAAGAGAGCCACACATGTGCACATCAGGCAGGTGAGATCCTACCCCTCAGGTGCCAGGCATTCTGCAGAGGTGACTGCACCCTGCTGAGGTCTCTCTTTTGGGAAGCGTCCAGCAGGCTCTCAGAGACAGGTGGTGCCAGGCCAGGTCCAATGGACATGAGGCCCAAAGTGCTCCTGTCCTGTGTATCAGGGCCAATGACAGCCTTTGGTCGGCACCTGGAACACCACTACCTGTGGGGCAGAACTGCAGACCCCTAAGTGCTGACCTCATGGTCATTTTGACTCTGGGAAGAGCCAGGAGTCACAAGGTGCCAGGTGTGGTGACTAAGGCAGACGAGACACTGCTTCCCATCTTTATGCGCTGTCTTGCTGTTGGATGGCACTCGGCAGCAGCATTCACCATGTTTTTGATCACACTTGTTAAGGCCCTCAGGAAAGAGGACTTCAGAGCTGCTGCAGAAAGTGGCATGCATGTGTGCAGAGCTCCCTTCCTCACTTCCACGCCCTGTGCTGCAGAGAATGCCATGTGCAGTTAACCCAGCTCTGACCTGGTAGGTGCACCTGTACCACACTCCAGCGCAGACCCCTTCCCACCCGGCGCCCCTCATTTGTTTGCAACTCACTGCCAGCTGGGGTCGCAGGGGTGGCTCCACTGGCCGCTAGGCTGCTCTGCTGGCTCTTCTCCCCCTGCCTAAAGTCTTCCATCAAGGCCAGGTGTCCTGCGATGGGCCGTGGACTCTGTGGCTGCTGTGGCCCAGCAGTGGCTGTGTGGCTGTCATGGGGTCTCCTTCCTGTCCCTGTGCAGTCTGTGAGGAGGGGATCCATTACACTGTCAGCGGCACACAGGCCAAGTGTCAACAGAAGGTGAGGGAGAGGGGAGAGAGCAACCGAGATTTGAGGTAATTACCCTGCCTGGAGTTAATTAAATCCTTGTTGGGAGCAGCAGGGTAGATCCTAATTAAACTTGTCTAATAACAGGGCCCTGACACCTTGCCACACCAGGGATTCCTGCGGGGTTAAGTGATTCGGGAGGCAGTAATACCTGTCAGGCCCACAGGGCATGCAGCTGGAGAGAAGTGCCCAGCTCCCGCCCATCTTGTCCTGCGCTGATCTGCCACTCACACTGCGAGTGTGTTTAATTCACACGCATTTTCACTGGGGGGCCCCTGGCTGGCCCTGAGTGATTTTGTTGCTTTTCTACTTTTCCAAGAGGGAGCAAAAAGGAGCAGCAAATCAGCTGAAGCACAGCAGCATTATCTGCGGCTGGGGTAATGATCCTGATTAATGCTTGTTGATTGTTACAGCTTTGTGTGATGTAAATAAAGCTGTGGCCTCTTTCTCCTTCCCTCCCTGCCTGCCTCCCTGTCTGCTTCTGCCTGGGAGTCACAGTGCAGGAGGCCCCAGCAGTGCCAGCCGCCCAGGAGCTGCTGGTTAGGCTGTCAGCACTGCAAGCACAGGTGGAATCCCTGCAGACACCCTGGTGTCCCCCATTCTCTGCTCCTGGGCTCTGTCAGGGCAGGTGAGGTGAGAACTGAGGAGGAGGCAGCAGCCCAGCCTAGATAGAGGGCAGGAGTGGACCGCCAGCGGCTGGGCCGCAGGGTCGTCTCATAGTGGAGGGCTGTGGGCAGCCACCATCTCCTGCATCGCCCCTCAGACCGACCTGTTTCGTGGCAGCCTCAGAGAATGCCAAGTTTTCCTCATGCGAGCAGGGGTTGGGGGTCTTTTTCTTTAGAAAAACATAAATGCTTGCTTTTTGTTTCTTTGTTTCTGTTTTGTTTTGGCAGTGCTGGGCATTTGAACCCAGAACCTCTTTTTTTTTTTGAGACAGGGTCTTCCTAAGTCACTAATTTATCCTAGTTTTCGATTCTCCTGCCTCAGCCTCCTAGAGTGCTAGGACTGCAGGTGTATGTCTGGCTGCCTACACAAATGTTATGTCTATAAAAGGACCCTTGAATTTTGGCCAGGTCCCAGTGTTCAGTCA